CATTGAGCCTCACGCTGTAACAACATCCTGGATCTATCTCCCCCCGTAGGCATAGGAGGGATGTGATCGATGGCGATGAATCTTAAAGAAGGTAGTCTGTGTCCCATGGTCAAAAAATGTTTGGCTACAGGCTTATCACTCCGTTGATCTCTGTATGCCGTCATGATGGTAGATCGGTGTCCTCTTATCCGGTCTCGTACTGTTAAGTCAGTCTTTCCCACATATGAGAGTCCGCAGGGACATGTGATCATGTATATCACATGGTCAGTGGTGCAAGTAATAAATTGTAATATTTTAATTTTTTGACCCGAATGTGGGTGTGCAAAAGTCGTACCACTGACCATGTGACCACACGTCACACATCCACTGCATTTAAAGCATCCCTTTTTGGAAATGGTGGTGGTTTTACGGTAGCATGTTACTGGATCATTCTTCACCAGGAGATCTTTAAGATTTTTACTCCTTTTGTAACTTAAAACTGGCATCTCCTGGAACGAATCTGGTAAGGTTTTATCAGATTGAAGTATTCCCCAATGCTTATGGATAGATTGTCTGATTTTAAGCGTACCAGTGTGAAATGTCAGTGGAAGGTAAATCCTAGGTTTAGAAGATTTGTCTGATATATTTCTCCTTGTTAGATCATTTCTCTCCTTGTTCCAAATTTCCAATGCTCTCGTTTTGGCCAATGTAAGTACATGTGACGAATATCCTCGTTCTCTAAATCTTTCCCACATTTCTTCAATTTGAATGTTGCATCTCTCTGACTCAGTGTTATATCTGAAAACTCTTAAAAATTGTGATATGGGTAATGACCGTTTAAACTGTTGAGGATGGAAACTGGAGGCCATGAGCAACGTATTGCGGTCAGTCTTTTTCCGATGCAGTGTGAATTCTAATTTATCATTTTTCTTATATAATGTCACGTCCAAAAATTGGATTGATTTATCATCATGTTGAACGGTTAATCTAACCGGTGTCGGTAATTGATTAATTTCCATAATCATATTCTCCAACTGGTCTGGCGTTCCAATCCAAATAAGAAAAAGATCATCCACAAAACGGTAGTAATGTCTAATATGCTGTCCATATCTTTGTAAAATGTAAGTTTGTTCAAACATGTACATATAGGCGTTGGCATATGATGGTGCCATTGCCGCCCCCATTGCAGTGCCGGTCAGTTGAAGAAAAAATTGATTTTCAAATTTGAAATAGTTACACGAGAGTGCTATAGAAAGGAATTCCATCAGGAATTCAATAGGTGGTCCCTCATATACGGAAGACTGTATGAGAACATCTCTGAGTGCCTGTATACCATCATCATGAGGTATTATGGTATACAGGCTTTGAACATCCATCGTTACCAATAGTGCTGTAGTATTAACAAAGGGATCCCGATTGATCCTTGACATAAAGTCTTGTGTATCACGAAGACATGTAGATAAAGCCAGCACACTGCCTTTGATAAAAAGATCAATATATTTTGCAATAGGTTCTAATAAGCTATCATTAGCAGAGACTATAGGTCTCCCTGGAGGTCGTATAGGATCTTTATGGATCTTGGGCAAAGTATATAGCACAGGGTGCCTAGGATATTCCACGAATAAAAATTGTGCAGTTTTTGCATCCAAGTATTCCATTTGTTTTCCCAATTCAATATGATTTTGTATTCTCATTTGAAATTTCTTGGTGGGATCAAAGGTGAGTTAGGCATATGTTGATATGTCATTTAGTTGTCTATATACTTCAGTACGGTAATTGTCATATGACTGAATAACTGTAGCGCCCCCCTTATCTGCTGATCGAATTATAATATTCTGATCTTGTCTAAGGTCCATCAGTGCGATCTTTTCTCCGGGTGTCAAATTATGATGTTGTCTCGATGAGTTTTTGATTATTTTGTCAGTATCAGTCTTAACCATTTGCATGAATGTTTTAATAGAGGTGTTAGCAGTACGGATATCTTTCTTACTTTTTGTGTACAGTCGATTAGCTGTATCTGATGTACCAAATTTTTTTAATTCATTGCTATATAATGTTCTTTGTATTTTATATAGCTCCACCTCAGTTAGAAAGGAGTCCGGTTTGGCAACAGGTACGAATGAAAGTCCTTTATTTAGTAAAGAGTAATGGTCTGAATTAAGAATTTTGTCCGATAAATTAAACACAGTAATCATCTCCTCATTCTGGGTGGTTTTGAGGTGAGATTTGTATTTTTGACAGTGCCTCTGTCCTCGCCGCGTGGGTCGGTTCTTTTTATACCTCGAGTGTTGATGCGTGATGTCCCTGGTGGTTCGTCTGGATATCTGTCCTTTTCTAAAAAAGGCTCTGGAGTCTGTCTCTTTGAATCTTCGCTGGTTTCAGGATCAGAAGTGGAGTCTCCTGAGCTAGTGTCAATAGTTTGAAATGTTGGTTTTCGTATTTTTGTCCTCAACTTGCTATACAGTCTATAATTATCTTGTGCTCCCCCCAACCATCTGTATACCTGATGGTATTTATAATCATTGTTCACCTTTTCCAGTTTTTGTTTCTTAAAACGGATCAGGTCATTTTTGTATTTGTTAATTTCATCTTGTAGCTTTAACATTTGGACAGTGGCAGTTGATGCATGCAGTGTTGAGCTATTAGCCATTTCCATATTCTGTATTGATTGTTTAACAAACATTAACTCTTTCCCAACCTCCTCAACAACAATCACCATCCAGTACAATGATCATTTGTTGGATATCAGCATCCATTTCTTGCAGAATTCTGGATTTTGCCTTCCTATTGTGGGAGCATTTCTAATCCTGAAACCCCTGGGGATCCTTTTTGCACGGTAGTAGTCAGAAATAAATACTCCGTGAAGATCAAGATCAATT